ATTGTCTACTTTGAACTCTTACCACCCAACAGAATGATCAATTCTGATGTCTACATTGAACAACTAACGAAATTAAACAATGCAGTTGAAGAAAAGCGGCCCAAATTGACAAATCGAAAAGGTGTTGTATTCCATCATGACAATGCAAGTCCACACACATCTTTGGTCACTCGGCAAAAATTAATGGAGCTTGGTTGGGATGTTTTGCCACATCCACCATATAGTCCTGACCTTGCACCATCTGATTACTTTTTGTTTCGATCTTTACAAAACTCCTTGAATGGTAAAAATTTCAATAATGATGATGATGTCAAATCGTACCTGATTCAGTTTTTTGCTAATAAAAACCAGAAGTTTTTTGAACGTGGGATTATGATGCTGCCTGAAAGATGGCAAAAGGTCATTGATCAAAATGGGCAATACATTACAGAATAAAGTTATTTAGTTCCATGAAAAAATTGTCTTTGATTTTCTTTAAAAAATCCGCAAGTACTTAGTTGCCGACCCAATAGATTATAGAACTCAAGTGATATTTGATTGACTGAATAATTATAGTCACATGGTTAGTTTTTCATCTTATCAGTTGAGACTTTAGCAGGGCAGTGAATTAGGGTTAGTACTGTAGAAAGCAGATGAATGCGGGGAAATCCATTAGGAAAGACCCATAGGCATAGCTCACCATTGTTCATAGAATGAAGTACTGTAAAGATAGCACAATACTTTTCCATTAAAAACCCACCAGCTCAAATAATTATTTTAAAATAACTTCATATTATCCAAATTGTATATTATAATTTTTGTAAGTGAAACTGAGGAACAGAGAATAGATAAGGTCTATACATTTTAGTCCACCATTACATAAGGATATTCATCACTTGGATATTAATTTTTATGGAATAACTGTTCAGTGTTTCGCTTATGTTTATATTGTGATGTCTGTTATTTTCTTATTGTTTTACTAGAGTCCCAGTGCACAAAATTTGTGCATGGGGGAGGGTCCCCTAAGCCCAGGCTGCACCCTCTGCAATCCAATACCCCTGGCTCCTAATTGCTCACCTGCCTGCCTGCTTGGTTGCCCCTAACTGCTCTGTCTTGCTGGCCTGATCATTCCTCATTGCCTCTGTATGCTGGCCTGGTTGCCCCTAACGGTCCACCCTCCTGGCCTGGTCACCCCCAACTTCCACCCCTGCCAGCCTAATTGACCCCAACTGTTCCCCTTATCAGCCTAATCACCCTCAACTGCCCTCCCCCACTGGCCTAGTTGCCTCAACTAGCCTGGTTGCCTCAACTGCACACCCCCCCCTCCATGCTAGCCTGGTCACTACTCACATCCTCCCTCTTTATTATATAGAACAATAAATAGGTAATATGGAAATTAACCCTCATACCATCACAAGATGGCTGCCTATGACCAGGCTTGCAGAGGCATTAGTGAGGGATGACCAGGCCAGCAGGGGAGCAATCAGACCATCGGCGGGGGGCAGTTGGGGTGACCAGGCCTGCAGAGGGGGACAGTTAGGGGCAACCAGCCCAGCTGGGGGGAGGCACTTCACAGTGACTAGGCTGGCAGGGAGGGGCAGGTGGGAGCAACCTGGTCAGCAGCAGGGGGAAATTAGAGGTGACCAGACCGGCAGTGGGTACAGTTTGGGGAGATCAGGCCAGCACACAGAGGCAGTCAAGGGTGATCAGGCTGGCAGTGAGAGCAGTTAGGGGCAACTTGGCAGGCAGGCAGGTGAGCAATTAGGAACCAGTGGTCCAGGGTTGTGAGCGGCATGTCTGACTGCCTGTTTAGGCCCCATCCCTGGGACCGGGCCTAAACCAGCAGTCAGACATATCCCAAGGGGTCCTGGATTGGAGAGGGTGCAGGTTGGGCTGAGGGGAACCCCCATCCCCTGTATACAAATTTCATGTACTGGGCCTCTAGGATGAAACTTTATTATATATTATGAAAATAAGTTTTTATAAAACCTGTGTATTACAGATATAGTGAATTCTTGTTATTTGCAATAATTATGTTCTATAAAGTCATCATTAAGATTGAATTAGTGAATAATGAACCACTGCTCCTATGGAAAATACAGGGTAGGGTTCCTGCAAGCCTCTGGTCACAACATTTTTGTCAACTGATTGATATATCACATTATTCTATGTGTTTCCTGTGTAAATGCAATTATTTATATACAGTATATATATTGTTGATTTATTAACATTAAACTCATGGCCACTTTGGCAGGGTGGCTCAATTAGTGGAAGCACTCCTGTACACAAAAGGTGGCAAATTTGATTCCTTGTCTAGCATGTACAGGAAGCACACAATCAATATTTCTGTCTTACATCAATATTCTTCTCTCTATCTTTCTCAATATCATCCAGCGAGGATTAAAAAAACAAAATGAAACATTAAACTCATAGTCAACAGTACAATAACTCATGCCTATGAAGTTTGTTTAACATGCCTTTTATAAGCAATGCATAGAAGAGCATTCTTGAACTTTGAACAGTAATCAGCAATTAAGCACTCTGCTTTGGGAACATTTGACAGAGCAAAATAAAAAATAAAAAATCCTCAAAATACAAAAAAAAATATGAATGAAATATCCTGAGAAAAGGACACTTCATTACACTATGAGAGCTGAAACAGGAAGGTAGTGTCACTTTGTTTGACCTCAATTGGGAATGTGCACTTTGAGAGACTCAAAATGTTGCCACTCTGAACATGTCTGTAAATGACCACAAAAGTACCGGAAGTGTTGATTTTGGGGTTGCCCGTGAAAAATGGCAAAAAGCAAGTTCACAAGTGTGAAATTCAGGAAAAATGAGGATTGACTATTCTCTCTGTAGTTTGTTATTTATTCTTTTATTGTTGTATTTTTAAACAGAAGCTCTTAATTTTAATGGATTCCAAATTTATCAAAGTTTTCCTTTATGATTGATGCTTTATATATCCTACTTAAGAAATTTTTGCCTATCTCAGAATCAAGAATAGATTTCTCATATTTTCTTCAAGAATTTTGATATAAATTTTACCTTTCATATTTAGATGTACAATGTATCTGGTACTGATATTTTGTATATGATAGAAAGTAGGGCTCATAATATTTTTCCACACAGATGCCCTATTCACTCACAAACTCATTTTAAGATAATTCTTTCTCTACCACATGCACTATCAACTTTGCCATTAATCAAATAACTATATATGTGTCTGCCTGTGAACTCTCTGTTCTGTTCCATTTGTCTAGTTTTTATCCTTTTCCCAATAGCAATCTGTATTTTAATTACTATAGTTGAAAAATAAGTATCCCCAGACTGATCAGGGTGTGTGTGGGAGGCAATCAATTAATGTGTCTCTCTCATATCAATGCTTCTCTTTTTTTTCCGTTCCCCTGTCCCTTCTACTCTCTTTTAAAAAATTAATGAAAAAAATATCCTCAGGTGAAAATTAAAAAAAAAAACAAATTTGAAAATGACATTATAAGAAAGCAATATCACAAGCCATCACCTCTTAAGTGTAGATACAAAAATCTCAATAAAATATTAAAATATGTATTCTAGCAATATGCAATGGATATACAACTTAACAAGTTGAGTTTATATCAGGAATTCCCAGATAGTTGTTTAACATTTGAAACAAAGTAATTCATCACATACACTGGGTACCCATATTATTATGATCTCTGAACACATAATAATCTGGCCACTCTATATATGGCCATTCTATATCTATACATCTATACATCTATACATCTATATCTCTATACATCTATACATCTATATCTCTATATCTCTATATCTCTATATATCTATATATCTATATCTCTATATACCTATATCTCTATATCTCTATATCTCTATATCTTTATATACCTATATATCTATATATCTATATATCTATATATCTATATCTATATCTATATCTATATCTATATCTATATCTATATCTATATCTATATATCTATATCTATATCTATATATCTATATATCTATATATCTGTATATCTGTATATCTGTATATCTGTATATCTGTATATCTGTATATCTGTATACCTATATATTTAATCTTTCTATATCATATATATGGGACATGGGCAGTTAGCTGGCCTGCTTGCTGGCTGTTTGAACTTCTGGCGGAGGGGACAATTTGCATATTAGCCTTTCATTATATAGGATATACAGTGAGTGGCCACATTATTATGCATCCAAAGATCATAATAATCTGGCTACTCAGTGTAGACAAGAAGAAAAACAGAGAAAAAAATCATATGATCATTCCAAAATATGAAGAAAAAGCCTTTGATAAAAAACTACATTCATTAAGGCCAAAAACCTCTTAGCAAACCACTAATAGGAGCAGAGTGATTTAATATGATGGAGAGAAGCTAGAAAAATCCTATAGCAAACATGTAATTATGAGAAGCATCAATCAGACCATCAAACCTCAGCGGGAAAGTGGGGTAAGAGGGAGAGATCAACCAAAGAACTTGTATGCATGCATATAAGCCTGACCAATGGACACAAACTCTAGCAGGGAGAGCGAACATGAGTGGGGGTGGCGGAGCAAAGGGGACACATATGTAATACCTTAATTAATAGAAAAAATTAAAAAATAGTGAAATATTGTAGATACTTTCCTCTGGTTGGGAATGAGACAAAGATAGCCTTTCTCACCGATTTTATTTATCTTTACATTCTAGTCTCAGCAACTAAAGCAAAATAAAATTGTAAGGATGGGAAAAAGGAAAATATAATATTTTTGCTCATTACAAAGTTCTATATGTTAAAAACACAAAGATCTACAAATGAAATATTAAGATTAATAATTGAAATTACCAAGGTGTTTGGATAGAAGGCTTATATATGAAAATTAATTATATTTTTACATATAAGAAAAATAAGAGAATAATTTTTTAATGATTAAACCTTTGATAGCTTAAAAAACATAAAATAAACCTAAAATATGTGCACAAACATTTGACTAAAATTGCATTTTCTGAGTTCAGTTATAGACTTGTACATCTTAAGCCTATATAATTTTATTAACCAATGTCACCCTAATAAATTCAATAAAAATTAGAAATGAAAGTTGGAAAAAAAAAAAGAGAGAAGAGTCTATAATGGCCAAGTAAATAACTATTAAGAAAAGGATCTCACCCATCACTGTCCACTTAGATGAGGTTTGGGGTCTAAATAGTGGGAGCATAAGAGAACCACAGTTTAGAAAAGTAACACTCTCTGCCTTTCTGTTCCACCCTCCTCTTTGTATTCAATCAGCATCAGTCACATCAAGATCAAGTTAGCATTTGATGGAGGTTTAAATGATTTTTTAAAATTTCTTTATTAAGGTATTATATATGTGTCCTCATACCTCCATTAACCCCCAAATGCACCCCAAACACACACACTCACGCCCTCACCACCTCCCTCTGGTGTTCCTGTCCATTGGTTAGGCTTATATGCATTCATACAAGACCTTTGGATCCCCACTCTCCCCTACCTTCCCTCTGAGATTTAAAGGAGGACAGAAGGAAGGCCAAGAGACATATTAAAACATGCTCAAAGTCACTAATTATCAAGCAATGCAGATCAAAACAACAATGTGGTATCATCTCACACCTGTCAGAATGGCTATTATCAACAAATCAACAAATGACAAGTGTTGGCCAGGCTGTGGAGAAAAAGGAACTCTTTTGCACTGCTGGTGGGAATGCAGACTGGTGCAGCCACTGTGGAGAACATTATGGAGTTTCCTAAAAAAAACTGAAAATGGAACTCCCATTTGACCCTGTGATCCCACTTATAAAAATATACCCCAAGAAATCAGAAACACCAATCAGAAAGGATATATGCACCCCTATATTTATAGCAGCATAATGCACTATAGCTAAGATTTGAAACAGCCTAAGTGCCCTACACAACGGAATACTATACTGTGGTAAAAAAAAAAAAAAGAAAAAAAGAAAGGAATTCTTACCATTTGCAACAGCATGGATTGAACTGGAGAGCATTATGCTAAGTGAAATAAGCAAGTCAGAGAAAGATAAATACCACGTGATCTCACTCATTTATGGAATAAAATTAATGTTGCTTTTTAAAAAAAATCTAAATAATTACCTTGAGTACCATTATTTGTAGATTGGCAGATTCAATATTTGAAACTCTTCCCAAATTAATCAATCAATCTCACAGTATTTCTTTCATTTATATTTTTCTTTTTTGTTACATGGAATCTCAAAAATGGAGATTTTAACAAAATTATCTTAGTAATTGACAGAATAATTAATAAAAAATAATGTAAAATATTTGAACATCATAATTATCAAACTTTGTCTAGTGACTTACATAGAGTTCTGTACCCTAAGACTGCAAAATATATATTCATCTGAAGTTCACATAAAAGTTGTACAGAATTTGATCATATGCTAGATTATAAAGTAAATTATAACAAATTTCAAAGGAATTAAACAAGATAGAGCATATTATCTGACCTCCAGACAATAAAGGAAACATTAAAGGTTAAAAGATAATAGATAATTTTATGTTTAGAAGTTGAGAGATACATGTCAAAGTAGCTTATGAGTGACAGAAAATATATTGAAAATTAGAAAGTATATTGAAAATTATAAAGTATTTTGAAACTAATGGTACTAAATTACCCCATGTAAAATTTTTAGGAAAAGAAATATTTTCATTAGAAAAAAATATTTAAAATGACAAAATCAAGTTTGAATCTATAGAAGAAAAAGATTAGCAAAATGAGTCCAAAGAAAGTAAAACAACAAAGAAAAATGCTAAAGGTAAGAATAGAAACTGATTTTAAATAATCAATATAGAAAAATATTAATTCTTTGAAAAGAAAGGGAAAAAAATCAGAAGGGAAATGGTGGAAATAATAGACAAAATCACTCTACATATGTTAGCAACATTTAAAAGATTATATAATTCTATAACAAATTATGATATGCTAAGTAGAAGCATGTTGAATGAAGATTTGTGCAATAGGCCTTCTTTTCCCTGGTTGCCAGCACCAGTTTTCCTCTGGCATCCGGGACCCAGGCCTTCACTCAGGCCAGAGTCTTTGCTCCAGCTGGAGCCTTCAATCTTCTCCTCTCAGGCCAGAGCACCACTCCTGTAGCTCCCTCCATCCCCCACCTTTTTCCCTCATAGTAGGAATCCCACCCCACCTGGACCCTCCTCTGTGCCTGTGTATGCAAATTAACCCTCTCCTTATGCCTTTAGCATAAGAGTAGAAAGTAGACAAATGACACTCAGTGGAGAGCCAGCAAAGGACCCTAGCATACATGGAAACTGAACAGGAGAGAGATACCACTATGCATTACTGGGAAAAGAAAGTCATTTCATAAATAATTTGGGATAAATTGTTACTTGAATAAAATTTTAAAAATAAATTCCCATGCCACAAAATCCACATGAATAAATGCTACAATTTAAGACATACAGAAGAAACAGAGAAATACCTATTCTCCAAAGTCTTCATATAAAAATACATTTTCCCCAGCTAACCTCTCACTCTTTAAGCTTTTATTACTCAGGCCCTAAATCAATTTGAATAATGTGGTATCTCTCATTTTGAACTCACTGATGAAGAAATAGGCAACAGTGGTTAATTGGTAAGAAAACACACTAGGATTTATTGTGGCATTCTCTAGTATCCTCACTGCTCCTATCCCAGTTTCCTTCAGGTTAAATTTCTCTGAGGCAAAAGGAGAACATAGGCATTTTCTTTATTCTGTGTATGTTACATAATCATGCATAGCTATACCTTATATATGATCTGATTTATATTATAAAAACATGTTTTATAAATGTATGATGAATGCTTGTATCTGTTACATTAGCACTCAGGTGGGTCAGAAGAAAGGGGCACTCTTTTGTACTAAAATTTATCCACAGAACTTTTCTTTTCCCTGGTTCAGCCTTTCTTTTTTCCTGTCTTTGGTCCATTTCTCACCTGGATCCATGCCACCAGAGTTGATGCAAGCCTGGCAAGTCATTTAAATCAATGGAAGTTCTGCAGGGGAACAGGGGAAGTTGGGAAAATGGAATCTTTGTATTTCTTCTCTCTGCATCTTGAAGCATTTGTCAAAAGTTTTTGAATATAAATCCAAACACTTTGCTTTGAATTTTATGAGCTCTTCAGATTTCTGCCACAGACATTCTTCTTAAAGTGCTTCCAGCCAGATAATGATCTCCTGAACACCCACCTACTTCAGGGCCATCCATGCCTCAGTGGAGCATCTTGGAATGGCTATGTGCTTGAACTTTAT